CTTGCCCATCGTCACTTCCCTGTCCCAGTCAGGCAGCTCTCTCCCTCTGGGTCACCCCTTCTCTGTACTAGAACTGGCTCTGGCAGTGCCAGCAGCACCCTCACCTCCAGCTCGCTGTAGAGCCAGGCCAGTCTCCTTGAGGTAAGAAAAGCCTGTTTGTGGGGACACAGAGCAGCGTGCAACTCACATCTGGTTGTGCCACCCAGTGCACCCTAACAGGGAGCCAAACAAGGGACAACTCTCCCTCTGGGTCACCCCTTCTCTGTACTAGAACTGGCTCTGGCAGTGCCAGCAGCACCCTCACCTCCAGCTCGCTGTAGAGCCAGGCCAGTCTCCTTGAGGTAAGAAAAGCCTGTTTGTGGGGACACAGAGCAGCGTGCAACTCACATCTGGTTGTGCCACCCAGTGCACCCTAACAGGGAGCCAAACAAGGGACAACAGGCAAAGTTCCCATCCAAACCCAGAGTGCAGGTGAATTTTCAATCTCTTTCTGAAATAAAGTATAGGTATGTTTTTAAAGGATGAAATAATGAAAGGGGCAGCCCAGAAAAGTGTTAATGCTACAGAAAAGACGTATTATTACAACTGATCGAAATAAAAGCACAAGAAGGAGCAACTGCTGGAGCACCTGTTTGTATTCTCAGGGCTATTCCCTTGCCCAACTTCCAGAGTTCAAAAAACTATTGGATACCTCACATTAGGAGGTACAAAAGTCTCCAAAAGTTTCCATCACTTCTGTCCCCAACAGCCTTAACCCCCACTTCCAGATTTCATGGACATGGCAAAGGGAGTGCCCTGGCGTGGACCATGCCATGTCCCTGAAGGACACCAGAATTTGTGTGGGATTTTCAGAACTATAAAGTGACTTACAAGCATAACTCCCATTGACTTTCAAAACCCTTGTCCTATGTAAATATTTCTAGTACAACAGCCTTAAAAACAAATGTTTCTATCCACTTGAAGAAAACTCTGGTTGGCCCAACAGTGTTGAAGTCTCCTCTGTGGAGCAAAAACCCAACAGCTACAGCCACATCAGACTTCAGCATGAACACTGCTGCTCACCAGAAATCTGTTTCCCCATCCCCGTAGCAGCTTTTACCCTAATGATCCAGTAGATGGAGAGCTTGCACTTTCCATACAGACAGCAGCAGGGTATATATACTAGAATACATACCCTACTACCGGATTTTAGTTGGATAGAGAGGAAAAAAGGTGCATAGTTCATTACATAGTTTAAATTCTGGGCCCCTCTACACAGGAAAATGACCCAGCATATCTACTAAAGCTCCCAATGTAGACTTTATTTCAAAATAAAAGTGACTTTATTCCAGCATAATTACTGCTCTCAAAAAGTAGAATAATTATTCTAGGACAAGTGACTCATTCTGGCATAATATCCATAAAGGGAGCTATTTTGCAGTAGATATACTGGGCAATTTCCCTGCATAGAGAGGAGCTTCTATTGATCCAATAAAGGGAAGACAAGATGTCCCATCTACTAAAATAGAAATCTATTTTATAGGGTTTCTGGAGAGGGTTGAGGATATGCTTCCCAGAACAATGAGGGAGTAATAAATGAGTTTTTGTAGGTGGCTGGCTGAGTTCCTGGTGAATTGATTATTTAAATAGTGCTAAGGTTTTATTCTGTTGTTAACGTGTGACAGTGCCTGAAGTTTCATACAGGCAAAGGGCTTTTCTACACCATCCCTGAAATCCCTCAATCCCCTCCAAGAGTCGAAGCACTGTTGCCAAAGTTATGTTCCATGCTGCTCCTCCTAAAATCAAACACCTTATCTAATTTCAATTCCCAGAGGTCGTCTCTGGTATATTTTATTATGAGACACTCAAATAAAATAGACTAAGTCTACTGGGGAGAGCATGGAAGGTTTCTGTTGGAAAAGTATAATGGAAATAAGTATCCTCTCTACAAAAAGAGCTCTCCTGCCCAAACAGAGAAATATGTAAGTTCCATTCCTTCCAAACAGTGACATTTAAAATGAAGGTTGTAGGCATTAAGTTATTATTTTGATTTATAGTACCTTTAGATTTTAGGAGCTTGTGGTCTAGATAAGGCAGCTGCAATTTTATGAAGCAGAATAATTCTGCATGTGACAGAGAAGACACACACAGTGGTCATAGAGATTTTACCTATGTTCTTTTGTTTTCTTTAACCCGATAAAACATTTTTCTCTGAAAAATGGGTTTTACTCATTAGGTCTAGAGAAACATAAGCTCCATTTCAAACACACAGTAAACTTTCAATTGAGATCTTAAAAAGCAATGTTTGCTTAGTCCATTGTTCATAACCATAACAATTCACCTCACCCTGTTAGCAGTCAGAGTTCTGTGCATTCACCCTCTCATCCTAGAGATGCTTGCATTTCTGTGCTACTGTGTTTGTGTCTATTACCTTTTGATTCCCAAGTCTAAATATGACACTAATTTTGATTCAAGATGGCCCAAACTTCCTTTTTTATATTCTTGTTGCTCCTGCTAAAGATAACAAGGGGCACAATATGAAGCATTAGTGATCTCTAGGTAGTTTTCATTGTGTTTCATTACACCCTTATGCATGGGTTCCATTGTTTGAGAACAAATAACTGTTCTTAACTAATTTTGGGGTGCCAAGTTCAAAAATTATATCAATTTTTTCCCATGATGTACAGATTTTCTGAAAACTGGAGTCTACTTTTTAAAAAAATGCTATTATGTGTTATACATTATATTCTGTGACTTATTTTCAAGAACTTAAAACTATATGCAGTGACATTTTCAAGAACTTGCATGCAAAAATACTTCAAATTGATTGAATTCATCAAAATGCTTAAATTAATTTACACCGATGCTGATAATGTTGGAGGCGATACTGAGTATCTACCAGAACATGCCAGTAATGAGCCACAACTTTTCACTCAAAGTGAATTGAATGACTTGGTGAGAGACCTGGATCTGCCTAAAGATTCTGCTGAGGTTTTGGGATCCAGACTTCAAGTGAAGAATTTGCTTTTTCCTGGGACAAGTTTTGCTTGGTATAGGAACCACGAGAAAGGTTTTGTTCCATATTTTTCTATGGCTGGTCTGTAGGTTTACTGCAATAACATTGCCAGACTAATAGAAAGCTTGGGGACAGTTTACCAACCAGGTGACTGGAGACTGTTTATTGACTCTTCAAAGACAAGTCTAAAAGGTGTTCCACTTCATAATGGCAATCGATATGCCTCTGTGCCCATTGCCCATTCTGTTCACTTAAGAGAAACCTATGAAAATCTTCTCCTTGAAATGGAGCATGAATGGACCATATGTGGAGATCTGAAGGTGCTGTGTATGCTGCTTGGTCAGCAGGCTGGTTATACAAAAACGCCATCCTTTTTATGCGACTGGGATAGCAGAGCAAGAGATCTTCATTGGGCAAGGAATCAGTGGCCACCAAGGGAGAGTCTGACTCCCGGCTCCAAGAATATAATTCATGAAAAACTGATTGAGCCCAACAATGGACTGCTACCTCCACTCCACATCAAGCTAGGTTTGATTAAACAATGTGTGAAAGCATTAAGCAAGAATGATGACTGTTTCAACTACATTTGCAACAAGTTCACAGCTTTGAGTTACCAAAAAGTTAAGGAACTTTGTGGGTCCTTAAATCAGGAAACTGACTCTTGACACTAACTTTGAAGAAACCATGAATGACACAGAGAGAGATGGTTGGGTGGCCTTCAGAAATGTCATACAACACTTCTTAGGGAATAACAAAGATCCTGATCATAAAAACATTGTTGGCAGCATGCTAAACAAATTTGAAAGATTTGGATACAACATGAGTTTGAACGTTAATTTTTTGCGCTCCCATCTGGATTATTTTCCTGAAAATCTTGGAAGTGTCATTGAAGAGCAGGGGGAAAGATTTTCATCAGGAGATCAAGACGATGGAAAAGAGATATAAAGGATGCTGGGGTGTCAACATGATGGCTGATTACTGCTGGTCCTTGAAAAGAGAGACTGATGGTGAAATGCGTAAAAAGTTGTCAAAAAAGTGTCAATTCAGTCACATCTAATCATTTAAAATTACTCAGTTGTTAAATTTTACACTTTGCTCCTTTGTTCTTTAAACAAGGACTTACAACAGACCTTCTAAAACAGTGTTTCTTAAACAGTGATCCGTGGCACACTGGTGCGCCGCGAGGCAGTCAGAGTTGTGCAGTGGAGGGCAACAGAGTTCAAAATGGCCACCCTTAATGGGACAGGCAACTCCCCCCACCAATAACTTTCCCCCCAACATTTTTTTTTTCCCTCAACAAAAAGTCCTTGGTGTTCCTCAAAAAAGATTGTTTGGTGTTCCTCCATTTTTTAAAGTTTAAGGAACACTCTTCTAAAAAACTATAACTTACTATTTACCAAGTTAACGCATAAGGTGTAATAAAAAGCATGAAAAATGTCCAATTTTTCTTTTTGATTTGTGACAAATCCTTACGTGATAGAGCAAAATAGATGCCATTGTTAAAATCAGCATACCAAATTATGTAAAGTCACCAATTTTTATCAAAACAACTGAAACTTTGTTTCAATTTGCAGACCAGTGTGATCTGACACTTTTTTTGCAGGGGAGTTTCTAAGTTGGATTAGAGTTCTGTGGGGTTCTTGGGCCAGAGCAAATAGGGGCCTCTCCCCACCTCTTCTGTCAGTAGTGCTTCCCATTCCTCTGCCTGTCACTCCTGCTGGAGAAATGGGGTGGGGCACGAAGGCATGTTCCAATCTGCTCACCCAGCACTATTGCTGGGAGCTCCTGTGTCCTGACTCTGCTCCTTGGCAGGAGCGTCAGTAAACATAACAGCTCAATGCACTGGGGCGCCTATTTGTCCCAGCCCACCAATTGTTCTGGGCCCCTGGGCACCAGGCCCATTGACACCCTGGTTAATCCACCAGTGTGCCCACCTCAGGCTTGGTCTACATAATTTACTTCAGTATAACTATGTTTACTGAGGGGTGTGAAAAATCAAGAGCTCTCACTGATGCAGTTACATTGACCTTAACTGCTTTTGTAGACAGCATTATGTCTTACCTATTGCTTTTCCCAGAGATGGATTTATTAAACTGATGGAAGCACCGCACTGATGTAAATTTGTAGTACAGAGCTGCCCTGAGATCTTCAATAAATCCAGTTCATGACTGAGAAATGTTGGTTTCTCTCTGCTTGAGATGGATCAATGAATTCCTATAGATGAAGTGTCCTCTTCATTGTTACCACTTGCACTAATCAAGCAGAATGTATAAATAACGAGCTTGTCAACAACATTCAAGTTAATGAACCAGCACTTCAGAAGACACAGCTAAAGTTAAATGAATCAGATTAGTAGTAATGAAGAATCATTTCAGCAGTTCTGAGTCAATGGTTTCTGCAGCTTCTGTAGGGTTGGGTTTTTTCTACTCCCTAGTGCTAGGGACCTCACAATGACTTAGTTAACAATTTGAAAACGTTAGAAACTTCTATCATGTTACCCTTGAATATAAAGTGAACAGTGGCTATACTATAGCAACTAGTACTAATCCCTTGTTGGTTTTGCCTTTAACAAATAAACCCAGTAATATCCCTATAAAATGGATGGTGTTTCATAAAAAACAAGACAGTTTTTTAAAGGTATGTAGGCATTTTTGTGTGCGTTGTTACAGTGCTCAAGTGATTTTAGAACCTAAATATTTTCAGAACGGAGCTAGATATTTAGTATTATAAATCTGAAATTATTTAGACTCTTAAGTGCCTATATTTCTTTTGAAAATAGTTAGATTTCTAAATCAGTTGGGGGTTATACTGCATACAATGCCTCAATACCTTTAAAAATCTGTAATTAAAATTTTAAAGGTAGCAATGATTTTGAAAAGATAGCAATGAA